CGTATAACGTAATTTTCTTTCGTATCGTTTTCGATCCGTGAACGGATGTTACGATTCGGGCCCTGCTCTTTCTGAATACAGCCACCAGTCTTAAGAAAAGTAAAAGTTGCTTTAAGGGGCTCAGAGGATTATGGAATTGCAGATGTTCTCAGAAAACTACAGTTATATATAGGTCATTTCTGGCCTCAACTAAACTATGTCCAAATTTGGTAGTCTAACTTCAAGAGGACTTAACTGGTCTTTTAGATACTATTTATGAAAAAATGATTCTAAAATGGGCCAAAGGTTCTACAATCATGTTAAAAAATATTTTAATTTTTATTAAATTGATTAAATTTTGAATTAATATTATATTTAAATTAATTAAATTTTTATTAAATTAATTTTATTATTAAATATTTTACCAATTATTACTGGGTCCCGGGGCATTGTGGTGTCCCGGGAAATGAGGAAGCAGGCGAATGTGCTAGGAAGGGATCTGAGATGGGGCTCAGGGAAACGATCCAGATCGATTGCGATTTTTATCTTCACAAGTCGAGAGACTGACTTGGGAAGCTACCAACAGTAGGTGGGAAAATTTGCACACCTGCAGGGTATCGCGTTCGCTCTGGCTTTCGGCCGCTGTGGCTGAATATACTTATGTATGTACATACATTTTATGAATATTTTAACCCTCCAGCTACCTTTTATAAAAATTATTCTAAATATGCGACGAAAAAATCGATCTTTATTTGAATGTACTAATACATAAACAAATGTCATAGCAACAGCCTTCGTCGTACAGTCAAACGAAGTGTTCACTGGAATATCAAAAAATATCGAATACATTTTACGAAGCTGTTACCGACTAAAAGTTTGCTCAAAACTAATAAATTCTAAGTAATGCAAAGAGCATGTAAGCTGCCACTCATTTAATGTCAAAAGCTCTTTTCCCACTCTTAATGGCAGCACATGGCCATGGTGTCTCCTTTACTTTAGCAAACTTATTTTAATGAAGCTTATATTCTTCCTTAATTGACAAAATATTCAAAAGAGAATCATGAAAGAAGGCATTTTGGCAGTAAGTAATTTACATAAAAAAAACGCAAAGCTTATTGCGGCTACATTTGATTTTCATGCAAAATGCTGGGAAAAAGAGGGAGAAAAAATTCCTTGGCAAACGGTTTAATGTGACTTTAAATAGGCTTAAGGATACTAGAGTAGAGTGTGTCATGCATATTCAACAAAGGAGAGTAGCGAAAAAACAATTGTAATTGTAATAATGAATTTCATGCTTCATTGCATATTTAAAATGCCACAATTTTTTGTTTTTTTTTTTTTGTGGCTCAAAACCTACGACTATTTACATTTACATACAACGACTACTACATACATACATATTACACAAAAACTTACAGCTTATGACCGCTGGGCCGCCGCTGGTCAGCATTAGCGATGTCTGCGTGGTTGCCGCCGTTGATCCAGGCGGATGATTAGGTAGTGGTGAGGGCATCCTCGCAGCAATGCAGGAGGAGCCGGCGCCGGCAGTGGCGGCGGTCAAAGGCACTTGGTGCCCCGGCATGTTGAGGCCTATCACATTAACGCCATTCATGCTGCCTGCGTGCGATCCAAGCACACAATACACACACAAACAAAATATATATGTGGCCAAGACGTTGTACATGATACGCACACGAATACGTTATATGTATATATGTACATACATATATATAATTACAACAACACGCAACAACAATCATTTTACATTATCCGCAAGAATTTATACATATAAGAGCAAAAGAAAAGAAGGAAAATAAAAGAGTAGCAATATTTAATCCATGAGTACGGAAAGCTATAGTTTATATACATACATATGTTTACATGTATACTTAGGTATATATATATATATATATATATATATATGTATGTATTTATGTACATCTATTGTATGCACTTATGTATGTATGTATTTAGAGTGGCCTGTGAGAAAATATTCGACATTTAAAGTTGTATAAATTTGTTGTTATTCGCAGCGAAAATCTGAACCAAAGAATATTTGAAAGTTAATAGGTATTCCGAAAAACACCAAATAATGCAATTTAAAACACGATCGGTTCCTAAAACATCCCGAAAGAAATTCCGAAAAAATTGCGAAAGATTCCGAAAAATTGCACAAGATTTCGAAAAAATGCGATTCCAAATAATTCGGAAATTTTTCGAAAAGTTTCGTAAGATTACGAGAAATCCCGATAGATTCCAGAAATCTTGATGCACCTTAAACAAGCCGAAAGGTTGCAAAACTTATGCCGAAAGATTAAGAAATATCTAAAAAAAAAATTACGAATGATTCTGAGAAGTTACGAAATATTCTGAAATAATGATTCCGAGAATTTCCGAAATATGTCGATAAATCACGGCATATTTCGAAAAGCTACGAAAAGTGTCAGAATTTACCTAAAAATCCCGAAGTTTTCCGAAAAATATTACCAACAAATTCCAAAAGATTCCGAAAATCCAGACAAATTTCGAAGAATCCAGAGACTCCAAAAACATACGAGAAGGCTGAAAACGAAAACCTAAAAGACTCTGAAAAAAAATTTTAAGATTCCGAAAAATTCTAAAAGATTCCGAAAAATCACGAAATATTCTTAGAAATCCCGACAGATTTGTGGAAAATTTCAAATTACTCAGATAAGTCACAAAGTATTCTGGGAATACCCGAAAGATTCTGAAAAATTATGAAAGAGTCCGAAAAAGTCTCGAAAGATTCCGAAAAAAACCCCAAAAAATTTATTTTTTACTTAAAAATAATCAAGCAAATTTTTTGAATTTCTTTCTGCTTTAAAATATAAAAAGGGACCATAAGGTGAAGGTGCAGAGATGTTTTTTTTAGAGATAGCAATGGAGAGTTCTAGCTTTAATTTAAGCATAAGTCAAAGATTCTGCCTTTTTTTTTTCTTTTATAGAGCTGCTCAACTATTGAGAAAATTAAAATTATTGAGAAAGTAAAATTAAAAAAAAAAAAATGTTGAAACACCCTGCCTTGATGTCGAATATTTTTATGGCGGCAATGAGGATATAGCTATTTTTATGATAATTAATATACAAATAAAAGTACTCAACTTAATACAGCACACGTGTACTATGCATAAATACATAAATATTTAGAGGTATATTTTGTGTAAAATTGCACAATCTAAAATAAATTATTTTTATAACAAGCAAGAGCGTAAGATTATTTATTGTGGGTTTAAGTGGCATATAAGGCCTTTCTATATATGTAGTTCTAATTCGTGTGAGAGTATGTGTAAGCATTCATATATATGTATTTTTGTATGTAAATATAGTGCACACACATGGGTCATTTTCGATTTGCATGAATTTTTACCAGAACTTTTCTTTTATCATATAACGAAATTCTGCCAAAAGAAAAAAATTAGTTTTTTCCCCGAAGAATATGCAACTTTATAGATTTCACAATTTCTAGGATTTTGCAAGTTTATCTTTTGAATATCGCAAAAACTAGTACAGTTAACAAAAGGTTCCGTTGTTGTTTTAGATGTTATACATATAAGTATATATATATATATATATATATATATAAAAATATACAGAATTGTAAATGTAAAAAGTCTTAAAAGGAAAAACATACAAACATTTTTGGATTGTAAACAATATGTCCAACTGTTTTGAAAAGTTAGAAAAACTTCGAGAGTGTTTATTTTTAAAGATATATATTTTTTAAACTTTGAAAATATTTTTTTCGTTATACAATTCAGAGTTCTCAATAAAATATTTTAAAGTTGAAAAATTCATATCTTTAAAAAAATAAACCTTTGAAAACTTTAAGCATCTTTTAATAATACTTTAATACGACTTTTAATATAAAAATCGCCCATTAATAATTCTTTTTTGATTTTATTTATTTTTTTATTTTATGAATCCAAAAACAAAAAAAAAAAAATTTCTGATTTTTCTCTCAATAATTGGTAAATAACAGTTACTCCTGATTTTTGTATTATATGGCTTCGATAACAGTTTTTGAAGATTTTTATTTATAAAAGTCATCAATAAAAATCAGTCAATGACTTTTACTTATAAAAGTCAACAATACAAATCAGTCACTGACTTTTATTTTTAAACTCATACTTATAAAAGTAATTTGTATAAGTCGTAGTATACTTCTTTACTGCAAAAAATTCTAATTACTTTTATAAGTACGACTTAAAAAATAAAAGTCAGTGATTGATTTTTATTGATGACATTTTTAAATAAAAATCTTCAATAACTGTTATCTATCCATATACATAATATAAAAATCAAAAATAGCTGTTATTTGTAGATTATTTAAATGCAAATTAAAAATAATTATTTTAGATTTATGAAATAAAAATATAAAATACTTTTTTTTTTTAATAAAATTTACAAAAAAAAAACATATTTTCAAATTTTATTGCCGGTGATAATAGAAATCGATTGGTGTGTTTCGCTTAGTTGTAAAACAAGTAATGTTCGGCCCCTGGAAAAAAATTGAGCCAAAAGTTTACGTTTTTGCTTTTACGATTATTTAAACTTTGAAATTTTAAACTTTTCGAAAATTTTTTATTTCATTTCCTTTTGGCAGAATGTCGTTATACACATGATGAAAGAAAGGAAAAATCCAAAACAAAAACGGTCTATTTGACACGGATTGACCCATTTACATACATGCAAATGCGTTACTGTGGTATGTCTATGAGTGTGTGTGTATGTGTGTGTGTGTGTACAAGCGCGTTTTTATACAAGATTAGCTCTTCTTTTTTCTTTTACTAAAGGACACATTTCGCATGAACATTCTAAGCTGCAGCTCACTAATGTCACACACGTGTCGCAGCATAAGCCTTCAACTAAGTAAGGGCATCAACGGAAATAACACACAAACAAAAAAGGGGTACGTATGTACGTATGTACGTACGTACGTATGTAAAGAGTTGGAAGAAAATCCACGAAATTGATATACAAATTCATTTTAATTAAATTACCGATTTTGGCGCTGCCAAAGGTATCCTTGAACATCGTCGTCGACGTCGCCGCTACTGGTGGCGCATGCGTATGCATACTGGTGACGCTCAACAAATGCCCACCGTGTCCGCCATGGTGGCCATGTGGCAGTGAAGTTGTCTGTTTGATGGCATTCGCACGGCCACGTGTTGGTGGGCCCTGTTCACGTTTGCGACGCGGCTGTTCGACGGGCAGCACACGCCTACGCTTCTTTGGTAACTTTGAACGTGCCTGCAAGGTAGATAAGAGAGATAGCGAATGAATGAAAATAAGCCAGCAATATATAGCAACAAAGTTTTAAATTATGTACAAGCAAACATGTAGCGCAAAAGCATAATCAATGAAATGAAAAGTTGATGTTTACATAAAAAAGCATATTTAATGCCCAGCCGAGTTGTGGTGCGGAGATTAATGAGTTGGGAAGGTTGGGTAATTTGTTACGATGTGTTTACACTCATTTTGGTATGAAGAGGTGAAGGAAATTAATCTTCGGAGCCACAAATTAATAAGGGCTGTACATATATGTGGAACCGCTTTATACTTTCATACGCTTTACTAAAAAAAAAAAAAAAAAAACACGTTGTGGTGGACGACAGTGGAAATTGAATTATAACTCTATTAATATAAAATAGGTTTACAGCTGTTTTAAAGTTAACTTTGGAAAATGGTTAAGGATTTAACTATGAATAAATTAAGGCAACAAGGCCTTTTGATGAGGAATATTCTATATATAAATACGCCACAAGAAAATTTTGCAATCCCTTTTTTGAAGGCACCGTTCGCTCGATTTCAATGAAACATACATCTAATCCAAAAATGTTAGTCCCGCTACATAGGGGGCGTGGCATCTGACATATAGACTAAAATGTGAAAACCACTAGATATATCACTAAAACCAATTATGCTGGGAAATTGAAACTTAGCACAGATGCATAGATTGTAAATACCCTACTTACGGTGAAAAATGGTAGGCACTGGGAAAGTGTGCGCGTTGCACCGCCCATACAAACTGAAATTCTCAAATGGCTTATCTCTGTAAACGCTTAAGCTAACGTCCCGAAATTTGGCACAGTAACTTATGTTGTCAATACCGTACTTATGGCGAAGAGTGGTAGATTTTGGAAAGTGGGCGTGGCACCGCCCATACAAACTGAAATTCTCAAATGGCTTATCTCTGTAAACGCTTAAGCTAACGTCCCGAAATTTTACACAGTAACTTATGTTGTCAATACCGTACTTATGGCGAAGAGTGGTAGATTTTGGAAAAGGGTGCGTGGTACCGCGCATACAAACTGAAACTCTCATATGGCTTATCTCTGGAACCGCTTATGATAAGGTAATGGAATTTTATACACGTACATTTATACACATATAAAATCGCAAGAATAATTCAATTGGGAACGATTTTCTCCCAGATTTTAAAATCGCATTGAATGATTGTTGTTTTGTGCAACAGTTTTTAGAAGGATCAGTGTGTTTGCCTTCCGATAGGTGCCGCAGGGATTAAGAGCTATCCTAAAAAATCATATTTATGATCAAATTTGTTTCACTTTTAGAACACATATTAGTAACATAAAATTTGGTGTAACTTGTTAGCCCAGTCGTGGGATAAAAAAAAATATTGGGCTTTGGCCCAGTCTTGACAAAAACCCGTGTGAAATCGCCGTTAGCGAAGGAAGTATTATCTTTTGTTGTAAGCCTTCAAGATACTTTCTCAACCGTTAACGATTCTGATGAAAAAAGAAAGAGTTTATGTAGATGTGGGCAATTTAGTTGTTAACCTCCAAGAGGCTGTCAGACAAATATAATCGAAAAACTTATTTGCGGTCTGTATTGGTATATGTTACATATGACATATTAGTCAGTGATGAACATCTCATCTATACATACAAATTCGCTAATAAATGGGAGGTAAAAAGATGTCGAATTTCGACAACTGGGCGATACTAGTATATTAAAAATACGCCATATGCATATTTTGCATTTATTATGAAAACAAAATTGCAGTTAAAAAAGTAATTACATCAAAATAACAAAAAATCAACATTAGTAGATAACAATTATTACAACAAGGCTTAGCCTTTTAAGCTAGTATATAAATTATCGCCGATTATTTGCCACGAAAATGAATTTAACACAAATAACTTGGGGAAATGCTAAGCTACAAATTCTTGCATAATAAAAAGCTTGAAATCAGTGAAAATCTTGTCAGAGATGTGATTTTTAGTGCCTTTGAGAAAAGTAATATTTTATGAAAAAATTGTCAAAATGTTTATATATAATTTTTAGTCAAAGAAAAGGGGCAAAAGTTGCATGATTTTTAAGAAAAGTTTCAAAATACGTATATTTCTAAACAGTCGGTGTCAGGGGGCATCGATCTCCAATTTGACACTTTAGTCGCATAACGGTAACACTGAATATGATTGCTGTGATTTTTTGCGATTTCTGAGAAAAATCGATACTGTCTTAGTGTTCTATTAACCATTTGCAGGAGAGAACAAAGAATAATAGAGAATAAAGGGACAAAAACAAAAAGGCTGTTTACAATTTTGTTGCCGCAAAGGTTGCGCCTCTTAACTTTTCAAAAAGCAAAATAAGAAATTCGTACTTTTCAGCAATGTTGCCAACCTTGGTGCTTTTCGCACTAAATTTAGTGCTTTTCTTTATCCAAAACGGGAAAATTTTTGAGCTTGCTGTTGGTGCGTTTTTCTGATTCTTTTGTTTAGTTTGATGACACCAAATCTGTAAATCTTAAAATTTTTTGGTAAAATTTATAGCAATCGTAAGTTTTGTAAGCAACTTTACAAGAATGGAAACAAAATCATGGCACAACAATGACAATCATAAGCGATAGAGCATATGTATGCCAACAAAATATGTGACAGCACTTTCAATCACGTTACAGAGTTACATTCGGTATTTTCCCTCGACCTTTAAATCTTTAGTTTCGGCTAAATTTGTTGCATTTTTTACTATCATGCAAAAAAAAATGGCATTTCTAACAATAAAATTAATAAAGAACCCTTTAAAAAAGTATAATCGAAATCGGGTACGATTTGAAGAGTAGGCAGATTTCTTGACACAAAACCGCACTTTGGTCCAACTTTGGCATTTTGGAAACAGTTTCACAATAATTATTCGCCTCGATTTAATGAAATATCAGAATGATTTAGGCACATGTAAGGTTAATAATAATAATAGATTGGCGCTTACACATAGTATGTTAGTGTTTGGCCGAGCTTCTCCTCCGATTTGTGGCGTGCGCCTTGATGTTGTCACACAAAGCGGAGGGACCTACAGTTTTACGCCGACACCGAACGGCGATTGTATTTTTATGACAAGCTGTTATTCATGGCAGAAATACACTCGAAGGTTTGCCATTGCCTGGCGAGGGACGACCGCTGTTAAGAAAAAACCTTTTTCTATATTTTTTGGGATGTTGCTTTGACCGGGGCTTGAGGCCAGGCCTTGCGGAGTGGAAGCGCGCACTGCTTACCACTACACCACAGCGGCCGACATGTAAGGTTAGGTCAAGGAAAATATGCTACACCCCCTAAGATTGTTCTATATCGAAAAAAGTATACACCTATATTTTATTTTTATATGGGGGAAAAAACAACATTTCGTAGAAATCGTATATATGTAATTCTTGAATATCGATATTTTTCAATCAGAAAACTCTGGTTCTCTTCATGAGACTTTCAATAATAATCGCCATATGTTTATTTAAACAAATTTTTAATACTAACGATTTTTTATTGGTCAACCCATTGCACTTTTCGGGGTTTTTGGGGGACCTATAAATTATAGGCGGAAAATATTTATAGTGACACGCAGAGTGGCTCGATTGGCTGCTTTCTAATATCACTTTTCGTAGCACTGCGGTTGAGTTATGCGGGCATAATGACGACCTAAAATTTACGCCTCCAAAGGGCTCCGTACACTATGGGTGTTAAAGACAACAAAAAGGATGGTGCCTTGACAAAGTACAGAGCATAGAAGCAAACTTTTCCTCTTATCCTGCAAAATGAACGACATCTAGTAGGGAGGCTGGAGCCCAGCACAGGCCAGGACATTAATGCAGACTGATTGGTACGTATAGCCAGAGGGCTGGAAGTCAAAAATGGTTAAATAGCAAAAAAAAAAAAAAGCGTCAGTAACAGGTACTAATGAACTTTGGTGTGTATACATCTGTGTCGCCCCAAACTAGTACCGAAATTGTCCCGATTTTGACCCGAAAAGGTCCTAAACTAGTCCGAAAATGATATCGAACTAACCCCGAAATGGTCCCGAAAAAACTTTTAAAGGAGTCCTGAAGTAGTCCCGAAATGATCCATAAAAAGTCCCGAACTAGTCCCGAATGTTTTCTGTTGGTACTATTTCTGAATTCGTCTTGGTTTAAAGCTCAGTTAGTCTACACTTAGCTTAACTAAACTTACCGTAAGAAGTCATCAGTGATTACTCAATACGTCAACTTAAGCCAGAGGGAAAATATTTTGTTTTTGTATTCTGGCAAGTCTGTTCTCTCACCGCTCTCAATTTCAGCAAGGCCGTAACTTAAGAATCTAAAATCTACAGGTTTTAAAGTCTCTTACGGTAAGCTAAGTTTTAACGCATCGAAATAAGTCAGGATTTACCACGCCAACAGAGGAATAAATATAGAGGATATCATATATAACATGGAAACAGTCAATGAAGGCATGCAGTTTTTTTTTGGAAAGACGATGGAACTTCAAACCTTAACAAATCACAAAAATATTTTGTCCACTTGAATATCAAAAAATAATCTCCCTTTAGCTTACCTGCGTGTGTGAGTAAAACATGGAGAAGTTGCTAACGATGACCGGCACCGGCAATGCTATCGTCAGTACACCAGCAAGAGCGCACAGCGCTCCAACAAACATGCCTGGATAAGTTTTCGGCGCTACATCACCATAACCGACAGTGGTCATGGTGACAATTGCCCACCACAGGCCGAGCGGGATGCTTTTAAATTGATTTTCGGGATTGTCCTGAAACGTGTAAAGTAGACATGGCAAGAATGTGAATTAATGTAAACTTTGAAGTCAAGAAAATTACAAACAACTTTACCTGCAACTTCTCCGCATAGTAGGCTAAACTGGCGAAGAACACAATGCCGAGCACCAGGAAGAACACAAGCAGCGTTAGTTCCTTAGCCGAAGCTTTGAATGTGTGTATTAGAATACGCAGTCCAGGCGAATGACGCGTCAACTTAAAGAGACGCATAATACGTACTATCGAGAAGGCTTCCAGCAGACCCGTGTACTCGCCCATGCGTTGCATGACATCCGTGTAGAAGCTGAGCGTGGCGGTGAAGTCGATTATATTCACCGGTGATTTAATAAATTGCCAAATATTTGGCGAAACCTGTGAAAAAAAACCGACAAGGCTTAGCATAGACTCAGACCCACACTTCCCATGTATGCAGATCACTTACAATCAACCTAATGAGCACTTCGATGAAGAACCACACATTACACACCAATTCCACATAGAAGAATGCCTCATGCGGCTGCCCGTATGACTCATGCCAACCGTGACCATGATGATCGACAGCGCCGAGCAACTTACGCTCAATCAAGTCCTTTACATTACCGCTTAGTATCGAACGTTTCAGGCGATGGCGCTTCGAGGTGCCGCCTTTAAGCGAGAATGTGGCTATCGGTTGACTTGTGTTGTTGATATTCCCCGGGATCGTGTAGTTTGTCACTTTCAAAGTAAACGCGAGCGTTTGATTGTTGCCCAATGCATTTGAAACGTCGCCGCCGACGCCAGCCACGCTACCATGCTGTTTCGACAATCCCATGCTCCCCACAGCGCTGCTGTGTGTACCCGGTGCCGCCGTTATTGTGCTGGCTATATGCGCGCTCGGCGGCACCGGTGGCATATTATGTTGATGAGGTATACTTGGTATGTTCACAGGTGGCGTATGCGGTGCAGCCGACGGACTTGCTGCGTGGTCGGTGTGAGTGGCGGGAAAATCCACACGAAAACCCGGATGGGTCTTCAGGCAGAACGATATCACAGAAACGAATATGAAGAAAACCGACATACTAGCTACGATCTGCGGTGAAGTAGAACAAAAAAAATAAATAATAGAGGATTGTGGGCGCTCAAAAAAATATATATTTCGTAGTTTTCAGCCAAGATGACTCACTTTAGCACCCGTTGAGCTGGAGGGTTCGTCAAAGAGTGCCCACACTTTCGGTTTGATGCGCTGCCAACAGCTGAGTCGTCCATTGATGAGCGCTTCTTCGAAACCGAATAGACGTGCAATTTGTTCCTCAGAGGGTTTCTCATTTTCAATATCTAACTTATCTAAAATGGCTAAGGTATTCTATGAAAGATAAGAGCGCGCTTCAAATAGCTATTTCAAGTGGGGTATTTGCACTTTCGCGCTTACCTGCGTGTCACGATGTATGCTATAGGTGGACCAACAGCAGGGTTCGACTTGATTCGAATCTAGACCCCAAAATTCAAGTTCCTCCTCGAACAATGGACCGCATACATCTGTGGGATAGTGTAGTTTACCGGTTCTGTGGAAAGAAGAAGGCTTTTTTGGTGAGACACAATTAAGTGAAATTAACAAAAACAAAAATCCGCTTAATTGCCGCGCCTTGAAGTGACGAATGTGCAATTAAGCGGATAATTGCATTTTTAATATTCTTAGGTTTTGAAATAGTAAAAATCCGCCTAAAATTATTCTAAAAGTTTGATACAATTAAGCGAGTATGGAGCTTAGCTGGTAGGCACTTAAATGAGTTATTCAATAAGGCATGAGGTAGAGTTCATTAAATTTTTGAGACATTTTAAACGTTTAATACGCTCTTAAAGGGTATGACAAGCATTTAATAAGGCTACAGCTTGTGCTCTAAAGTGATACGCACTTAAGTGATAAACACTTAAAGGGATCGCATAAAAAATATAAACTGTTACCATTTAGGACTTAATTCTTCTATAAAAAAAGTCTGACTCAAAAAAATTTTGACTTTTAGAAGGAGGCAATTAACCAAATTACATTTTATTGAGTGCAGGGAATGAGAATTGATGGCAATTTATTAAAATAAAACAAAAATGTTGCCTCCTACATGACGAAAAATATACACTAGGGCGGAGTAATTTAATTTCGGAAAGTGAATGACATATTCGAATTCTACGTTCGATTCTAAGCAAAAATGTTGAATAAACTACTTAACCAAAATAACCTTTGATCCTCTCAATTTTTAGAAGAAAAATCAGGGTATAATAATTTTTTTGAACGAAATTAAATTTCATTTCCAAATTTTGTGTTTGCTTTATGCAATTTTCTTTTGAAAATTGGTAGGGTCAAACGTGATTTTTGGTATATAGTTCACTCGCCATTTTTGCTTAAAATTAATCGTAGAATTTGAATTTGCTATACGCTTTCTTCGAAGATTTTGCTCCGAACAAATTACTCCCCCCTAATGTACATATTTACAATATCAAGCTCTAACCGCAAAAAGGAAGTAAGCGAATTTTTTTTTCAAAATTTTCTTTTTGACACAGAAATATACTACATACCTAGCTTAGCATCTAGATTCATTTCTCCATCAAAAATAAAATTTTGAAAACAAATGTCGCTTACATCTTTTTGGCGGTTAGGGCTCGATATGCGCTTTTTTATTTTTATTCAATCTATACTAATCTATACTAATTATATAAAGAGAAAAAAAAAATTTTACTTTTTTTCGGGTAGGTGGACCAGGAACCGGTCTATTCGAAAAAATCTTATTATAGTCCGATTTGCTTCAAATTTAGTACGTAAGTAGCTTTTTAGCATATATTAGCACATGTGATCAATTTTTTCCGAGAAGTGGACCAGGGACTGATCTATTCGAAAAAAATCGTTTTTACGGTCCGATTTACTTAAAATTCGGTACGTAAGTAGTTTTTTAGCATATATTAGCATATATGATCCATTTTGTCCGAGAAGTGGACCAGGGACCGATCTGTTCGAAGAAATCGTATTTTTTTTTTTTTATTTATGCCTAACAACTAACTATAGTTAAAACAGAGCCTGTCAAGCTGCGATTGAAGTTCAGCCGAGTCATTTATGCATCTAATTTCAGAATATATTTTCAAGTCATCTGCAAACAGAAGAAAACTAGCATTTGAAAAACAGGAACTGATGTCATTAATAAATAGTACGAAAAATAGTGGGCCCAGGATGCTACCCTGTGGGACACCTGAGAGAGCAGATAATGGCTTAGACGAAACGCCATCGATAACCACCGTGCTAGATCTCATGCGTAGGTAGGACCTGATCCACTTTAGGAAGCCCGAATGGATACCCATACATTCTAATTTAGTTAATAAAATATTGTGGGATATCTTGTCGAATGCTTTAGAAAAGTCTGTGTATATCACATCAAGTTGAAAGCCATTACGATAAGTTGAGAAACAATCCTCCGTGAAAACTGCAAGGTTAGTCACCGTAGATCTTCCCGATACAAAGCCGTGTTGATTAGGACAGATCAAATGTTTGACTTTAAAAAAAAGTTTAGTTTTAATGATATTTTCGAATATCTTAGCAACTGTGGACAATTTAATAATTGGTCTATAATTTTCAACGTCGCATTTGTTTCCAGTCTTAAAAATAGGTGTGATTGATGTTCGCTTCCAGTCATCAATAAATAGACCTTCAGAAAGAGATTTGTTGAATATTAGTAATAATGGCATCACTAGAGAAACACAGTTTTTGAATAAGATAGCTGAAAAACCATCTACGTCCATGTGAGACGAGCTTTTTATATTTTTGATACCCTCAATAATATCATCTTCTGTTAGAGTAAGTGAACCCACATCAAGAGTAGAAGACGTGCTCTTAGGGAAATTTTTACGGATATTTGATAGGTCATCCACAGACAGGTCATTATCAGATACGAAGTTGGCCGAAAAGAAATCCGGTTGGTATGGAGATATACGAAATCAATCGCATACCCTTGGAGAAAAATTTTAGCTATAGTAAAAAGGGGTGTGACATCTCCCATACAAACCGAATTTTTCATACTGCTTATCTCTGGAAATTTTTTGGTAGAGTTCTAGAGTTTTGTATGGAGATGTACGAAATAAATCGCATACTCTTGGAGAATAATTGGAACTATTGGAAAAGGGGGCGTGGCATCTTCCATACAAACCGAATTTTTCATACTGCCTATCTTTGGAAGTGTTCATGGTAGAGTTCTGAAACTTGGTATGGAGATATACGAAATCAATCGCATACTCATGAAGAAAGAGGGCAGCTGTTGGAAAGGGGGGCGTGGAACCTCCCATATAAATCGAATTTTTATACTGCATATCTCTGAAAGTATTCATGGTACAGTACCGGAACTTCGTATGGAGATATATATATACAGTGCTATCTGGGTCGAGTGAACTAATTAATGCAAGACCAGTTCATAAAAAGCAGATTGTTCACTATATCCAGATTGAGTTTTTTGTTCTTAAAAATCAATTTCATTGCGCAGTACGTCTTTTGAAGTTGAATTATTAAGAACTCTGAAATGTCGTCTTTTCCCTCAGCTAATGCCAACGCATGTTTCCTGTTGTTGTTGTATCGCTGTCGTCAAGCTCTACTAGCGGTAGACCCAGGAAGCGTGCAGCCTTGATGGGGTCTGTCCATAAGGCCAGAGGCGTTAGCAGGGTGGGGTTTAGTGGGCATGCGCAGAGTTGCTGCGAGTCATGGGGCCTCTCTCCGAATGCTGGGGATTCATTTGGCACATCTGCATTTATTCTGCTCAAGTATGAGTTCAGCCTGCTGCAGTAGCCAGATCGAAGTTGGGCTGTGGGGTTCGAGTCTCCCGAGGCAGACGAAGCTCGTCCACGTCTGGTGGTTGCGTGCCCAGAACGGCATACACAGGTCGAGAGTCTATATAACTGTCGGTAGGCTGTTGCGTCCAGAGGTAGGTTTATGAACCCCGGGACTTCGTCCGTCAGTTCACATGCCTTCTGACGTGCCATAGCGAGGGTTCTTCCGCAATCAGATGTCTGTTCGGGTGCCTAACACGGTGACACCCTACTAGGAATTGCTTGCAGAGCATTGTGTTATGCTCTTTAATCGGGAGCATATTGGCCTCGTTGCGCAGGTGATGTTTTGGCAACATCAGAAGGCATCCTGTCGCTGTCTGAGTGCCGTGTTTTGGCAAGTCTGCAGTTTCAGCCACTGCGTCCTACTAGTCCCCGATAACCATACAGGCGTTGCATAGTTCAGAACCAGGCGGCCAATTGCCTTGTACGTTGCCAGCAACGTTTCTTTGTCTTTGCCCCAGGTGCTGCCGGCTAGGGACTTGAGGATATTGTTGCGGGTTTGTACTTTGTTGACAATTGCGGTTGTATGCGCCGAGACGGAGAGCTGACTTTCGAAGGTTACTCTGAGGATTTTCGGGTTATTCAACGCCGGAATTGGTTTGTCATCAACGAGAATACCCAGTTACAGTCTGACCTCTTTCGTCGAAGTGGTGAAAAGCGTTGCTGAGGATTTTGTAGGGGAGAGGGTTAGGCTCCGTGCAGTAACGAAGCGAGAAAGCTCGGCGAAATAACCATTATCGAGCAATCGTCCGCATAAGAGACAATCGAGACTACCTCTGGTGGTTGAGGGAGCTTAGAAATGTAAAAGTTTAACAGTAGTGGGGAAAGGACACCACCCTGTTGATCTCACTGTTTTATTTTCTTAGGTTTGCTCGATTTCGAGGATTGGAGGGTTTCGGTTAAGGCCACGAATTATTTGGCAGTTTATGGAGTCAAGTGCTGTTGTTGTGCTGTGCATTTTACGGAACCCATGCTTATGCTTCGCTGGGGTCTAGTGATTTGTGTAGTGCGGGAGTAGAAGGGCCTCTAGTGTCTTCACTACCGGGGAAAGGTGAGCTATCGGGCGAGAAGACTGTTTGTTGGAAGGTTTCCCCGGTGGACAATCACCTCACGGTTGACCAAAGCTTGCTCACACCAGAAGCGAAGTTACAGGTCTTCAGATGGTCTTCCCACTTCTTCCACTTATGTACATTCTATAGTCGCCGAATCTCCGAGTTGAGATCCCTGATACGGGGATTTGCGGGATCGGCCTGGCGAAGCGATTAACCTTTTTGTTATTAAATTTGTCGTTACAGTTTCCAATTTGGAAGGAATTGGTTTTAAATATTGTTCACTCTACAAAGACTCAAAATTGTTCACTCTATAGAGTACTCAATGGAAAAATTTTTATGTTCACTCTTTCGAGGTGTTCGTAGCATCGGGTGTTCACTCCAGCCAGATAACACTGTAGTTGAAATCAAGCCCATACTCATGGAGAAAATTTGGGCTATTTGAAAAGGGGTGTGAGGCCTACAAACCTACCGACCTTTAGCTATCTTTGAATGAATTTTTTTATTCTTCTGTAGGTGTGTTTGTGAGTGAAATCCTCCTAAATGGTTGTACGGATTTTAACGAAACTTTTTGTGTATTTGAGTGGGTCTCTGGATGGTTTAGTTTCACAATTTAATCCGACAGTTGGCGCTGTAGTTGAGTTATTACTAAAAATCTTATTTATGATCCGATTTG